TGCAGCGCACCAAAGGCTTGTCTAATAGCGTGGGCCAGACATGTCTGATGTGCATCGGCTAGCGGCTAATTCAACTTAGTAAATGGGGTTGCAAACGGCGCCTTTCCTATTTCTGGAATTGTCTCTTGGCTGGGGTCTGATGGATGAGCTCAGGAAATCTCTACTATGCATAAGCTGTAGATTGTTATATAGGCCGTGTATGCGTCTAGCGCAGGGGTTTAACATGACTAATTCTATTCTACTGACCACATTAGATGTCCCATACACCCTCACTTTAGGCTAAAACTACTGGCCTCCGATTCCATGCTCTTCTCTCTCTTCTTCCTGTGTCACGATAAACTTGACATTCCTCGCATGTTCATTGACGAACATTGGAACGAAGTCTGAAACCATATACCACCTCGGCTTGCCCATATTGTCATGAAGCAGGCGACCGCCAATCTTTAAGTTTTCGAAGGTGATATTCTCCGCCCTCCGCGTGTCGTCAAATCCGAGGATTTGGGACGGGTTGACGATCCCATTCTCGTCGGTTTTTAGCTCAATGTTTTTGAGTGTCACATTACGGACACCTCTGCCAGGTGCGGTGGTCCACATTTGGTTCTGCATGACGCGGATGTTGATCAACTGGCCCTTAGAGATTTTCTCAATACGGATATTATCAACAATAACGTCCTCAATGAGGTTTTCATCACCGGCGTTTATAGAGATACAGCCCTGATACCACATTTGGTTTTCGTAGTGGTCTAGTATGTCAATGTTGCTGATGCGGATGTTGCTAAATATCTCGGGCTCCGCTGGGGCTCCATGGGTGCCCATATGAATGGGGTGGGCAATATCAGGTAGTAAAACGCAGTCCCTAATGGTGATGTTCTTGGTGTCTCCGAAGTAGTCCCAGCGGTGGCCGTAAATGGCAATGGTGTCGTCGGAGTTACGGAGGAAGCACCTCTCGAGTAGGATATCGGAAGAACAGAAGAAATCAACACCATCACCATTTGCGTGACTAGAGAAAGATCGATATCCAGTTATTCGCACGCCGTGTGCCTCTCCAGTAGTCAGGCTGAAGCCGGTGGCGCCTATCGAAGTGACTTGTTCTACGACGATATTTCTTGACCTCTCGATCAGAATGGCACCGGCGTTGGGCCCTTTGTAGATGAAACCGGGCCCACGGACAGAGGCGTTAGATATGCCTATAAAGTTGAGCTTTGCGTGTAAGAACGCACCGCCGGCTAAATAGACCGTATGGTTAGACGGCACAAGCAGGTTTCCGCCGACAATTTTAGAGTATGCCGTGCCGTTATTGAGGCCGGGACCAAAGTACCACACGTTGTCGCTATCCGCAGTAGGTGCGTCGTCGTCAATCTCGTTCACTAGTACATGCAGAGCCTGCCATTTGTCGCTATTGATTTCCAGCATCACGTCGACTGCGCGGTTCAGGGTGAAAGTAATGGTGTGTGCGTCCTCAATTTGGGCTGCAATGCACAATGATTCGGGGCGAATACGAGCTTTTTCGACCAGTCCGGAGAAGACAGCCTTGATCTCTATGGCGCCCCGAGCCTCGAGCGAGATGATGGAGATGGCATGCCTGTTAAACTCGTCGCGAGTGATATTGACATCCGCAACGTCTGTGGTAAAGGCAGAAAGGAGTGCCCAGCTGTGCCACGAGCTGCTCGTTTCGACTGATCGCACCTCGACAGAAAATTGATCGCTTGTAGCCACACCGTCTGGCACAGGATAGCTCCTTATCTTGAAAGGAAGTCCCATTATGTCATAGTGTAATATATCGAAACGGAAATTAATCTGATAGGAACTTAGTTGGACTAGTTATTGATTCCGAGCAATATTTAATTCTCATACCATAAGCCCATGGCGAATACTCCCTCCTCCGAGACATATTCCGGCACCCGTCGTTTTACCTATATGGGGTTAACTTAGTGAGAGCGAGTGGGGGCTATTAAGGTATTTAGCACCTTGGGCCGATATATGGCCCGGGGAGCGGATCACCACGTAGTATAATCCGATATATCACTTAAATTAACTATTTACCATCAGAGTTATTAGACAATTATTTTCACTATGTTAGGACTATAAATTGGCTATTTATTAAAGTTAAAACTATCCTTATAATTACTTCGTAATATCTTTATAAATATATTAATAGAAGGATTTTAATTTTTTGAAATTCTTTTTTATAAAATTCCTTAAAAAATAAATAAATGCTCGCTATCACTAAAGGCCTCTAAATATAAAAAATAACAGGTCACTCGAGGTATCTCATCATGCTAAGCTAAGATCTGATTAGTGACCTACTTCCCGGGCCATATTTCGGGTCCAAGGAGGTAGTGGGGAACAAATCTTAGTGCACCGGACGCCGGGCAGAGAGCCGGACCGCCGCCGGCTGTGCAATTCTCATCGCGTTATCTCTCTCTAAGGGGCCAGCAAGTCAGGATGGCGACGAGCTAATAGCTCTGAGTGCGCGGCTACTCCTGGATCCGCCGAGAGAGCTCCAAGTCTGATGGTCTTTTCTTGTCAAGCTTCTTACCTCTCTCCTAGTGGGAGGCACAGTGGCTTGGGCCAGTTAAATGTCATGGTTTGACTTCTTGTTGTTGCACAAAGGGTGGAAAATGGCCTTCCCTTTGGCCGTTACTGGGCTTGCTCGCTTATATGTCCAAATGATGTGAATACAAAGATGGCTATCGGGGGAATCGGCGGTGGCTCGTGCCATGACATTAGAAGAATGTGGTTGAATCAACTAATACTACAAATGAAGAAGGCTTTTGAGTAGTGCTAGAGGCTCGCTCTTTCAACACCTTATCATAGTACTAGGGAACAACGACAACCAATATACTATTGACGTGGTTATGTACTGAGAACGGGGAGCAGGAAGCAGAGCACGTGCGGAACAACCCACACACAACACCACCACCATACACTCCGTAGCCTAGTAGCCACAGCGCGGAACCAATACCACGACCTTGCGATCCAGTTCGTAGGTAGGGCCGTTGAAGCAGCGTAAGTCTAGTGATATGTGGAAGAGGGCATGCTAATGCGAGATCCAACAAGTGCTGGGCTCTGACCAGGGCAGGATGAACACATAGGAATGGGGCGAAGCCCCGTAATGGTCATACAGATTGGTCTTGTGGTTGGTCTTGTCTAGGGAAACGAATGTATGAAGTTGACTGCTAGAATAATGGACTGATAGATCTTGATTGATTGATGACTTGATGGTCCTCCCCCCTGAGGTAGGACGGGATCTTTAACTACTTATACAAATCGAGCTGGCATGGCCTAGTCAGACCAGGGTCTGGATCCACCATACAATTCCTCCCGTACCAGGACCACGCTGGGCGAAAAGAAAATCCACTGACTACCCCCGGCTCAGTACCTCGGTGTCCATATCCCAAGGCTGCTGGTTATCAAAAGAAGCTTGGCTCCAGGTTGGAACACTATACAGCGAGAACTTCTTTGAAAGTGAAACACGCTAATGTCCTGCCTCGTTGTAATAGTATTCCAGTTTTGACCGTGAATTCGCAGCTAGAAACCTCGGCCTTGCCGACGAAGATTATAGGTAAGAGATAGACTTTAGGATTGTAAGTTTAGGTTTAAATAAAACTCTGTGTGGCGATAGTAGTAATGTAGGGCTTGAATAGCTAGTAGGTTTAGGTCAGTAGGATCTATAAAGTAGCCCTTAGTATAATAGGTGCTTAAACGAGAATTTATCTTAATATATTTACTACTTATAAAGATGTACTAGTGATTATAGTTTTTAACGTTATAAAAAGCCTTTTAGACAGTATTACTTATAAACTGTGACGCTTTTTCGTTATGTTTAGTATCTTATTAAAGTAGTATAATAGCTGGTTAATCTAAACGTTTTGTTTAGTTTATATTATATGTTATAATCAATAAGGCTAACTTATATATATTAATAATAACTAGAGTTAGATCTAATGCTATAGTTCAGTCAGGCTCGCCTTTGTCGGCAGTATGCTGGACGTGAGTCTGGATTTCCTAAACAGCTGTAATGATTATCTTAGGCGAAGCTTCCCTTTACTAATATAGGGATGAGTATAGATAACTATATTCTAACTAAGTATAAGTAAAGTGTATGTGATGAAGCTTGATTCTCTAAAGCTACAGAGGGCTGTAATACCTAGCAATATACTTATACAGGTTTCTATCGAAGTGTTGTAATAATATTGATATCTCTAGTGCTCTAGAGGCTTTTCGATACAGTCTGAGCCTCTAAGCCTTAAAGGCTGCACTGGTGAGGCATAGCAAGTCTAAGCTTTAGGGTATCTATACCAATCTACTGGGTAGAGATAGTAAGGAAAGGGAACTGTGATAGTACTTGAATTTTTAAACTTAAGCAAGCGAAGAGTCTAGAGCTAGTATTAGCAGGCATAACTATACACAGAGGATTACTCTCAAATCATCATTGAATTTTATTACTAGTAGAAAGTATTTTAAACTCACATCTTATTAAAACAAGTTACTAGGTTCTCTAGTAGACACGAGTTAACATTCTACTATATTACGCAGAGAAGGATATTAAACCCTTTCAGGTAGGATTAAATTTATAAGGGGCTCAGCAACCCCTTACAAGCACTCAGTCGCCTAACACTTCTGCTGCGCCCCGGCCACGGTCAGACGCTACCCGTAGTACGCTCTAGGGAACCCCTTACCAAACATAGCCCAAGACCCTCCAGAGATTTCACCGTGAATTCCATGATAAGTCAGACGAAGAATTACCAGGGAATCCTAGGGAATACTAATGGTATTCTGCAGAGGAAACCACTGTGAATTCTATGGTGCAACCTACGATGAATTGCCGTTGGATTCACAGTAAATTCCTACGGTATATCCGCCATAAATTCCCTAGGGATTCTTATAGGGAAGTGCTTCGAAGATCTATGTAATACCTAGCTTTAAGGGGGGGAAAATTCTTGATCAAAAAAATCATGATAGAAGTAAAAATTAATATATATATATATAAAAAGACATGATGAGAGTGGGATTCGAACCCACGCCCTTTCGGACCACGGAAAATGTTTTTAAGGTTGACCTTAACGTGGCGCCTTAGACCGCTCGGCCATCTCACCAATTGCGTTGATCGGTTCCACTTAAACATTATCTTAACATAGGTGGAGGAAGTGGAAAAGAATAAAAAGTCAGAGAATTTACCAAGATCAAAAAGTTGTCAAGAAGAAAATGTGATGAGAGTGGGATTCGAACCCACGCCCTTTCGGACCACGGATATTGTTCAAGGTAGACCTTAACGTGGCGCCTTAGACCGCTCGGCCATCTCACCATTCCATGCAGGAATCTTAAAATATTTTCCCTTAAAGGCATTAACATAAGCTCTGTGGGGCCCACTACGTGGCGTAGGATATTATATAAGCACGTGCACTACTTAACGTAATCTACCACCTAATTAGACACACCACCTTGTTATGTCCGTAGTACACACCGTTTTTAACCACATGCCATGCCGTATACTATCTCCATATTTGGCGCTAATGCTTTTTCATAGTGAGAATAGTATAGCTGATCTCGACGCGTTCAAAATAACATCAGGAGCTGAAAGGAGGTAGGGGGGTCTTCGGGAGTCTCCCCCTGCCTACGTCGCTGGCTGCAGCGCGCTGGCTAGTTCCACTGTGGAAAAAGAACGGTATACCCTGTACACAGCTTTAGCGCCAAATGTGGAGTTGGTATGCGGCATGTGGTTAAAAAAATGGATGGGCTGCAAGAGCGTGGATCTCCCACACTTTCCCCACCTTACCCTTCAACATCGCCTTGGACCAAGCACAATTATTCGTTCGCGCACTCAGCCAACAAAATGGCCATGCTGACACCTGTTTCTGTGGCCCTTCCTGATAACAAGGTGCCGACGAAGAGCATGGTACGAGACATTATCGCCACATTCTTGACAAAAGAATGGCCATGCGTGCATCCAGAGACTTTGGTCATATCTTATCACGCATCTTTTGCCAACGGCCATTGCCGAGTAGAGCGGCCGAAACCGACTGCTGGCAAAACTATCGAGCCGCGAAAAGTCTTCATAAAATTCCATAAGGAGACTGCGGTGGACATGGAAATCTTCAAGCATCTTGTGCCAAGCAAACAAGAGGAGGCACTTTTTTGCTATGAGTACGGTCGGTCCGGTCTCGGAGTCGAGGTGTACGGCTTCTTCCAGACACAAGATGGCACACTAGGAAGGGTCGAGGAGTTCCTAGAGGCACGCAATATGGAACCGGAGGATGTCGAGAATGCCGCTATTCGAACCGATGTTGCCAGAGGACTAGCAATGTTTCATGCTATGAAAACATCGCTAGTGAAGAAATCAGTGAAGCCATTTTACGATGCTGTTCTGAGCGGACTTGAGAAGTACCACAAGATGGATAAGTTAAAGTCACTCGGAAAGGAAGGGGGTGTCTGTGTGGACAATCTGATTGACTACGACTTTGCGATGGCATTGAAAAAGGTGGTGGATAAGCTGCACTCCGTGGGGGGGAAGACAGGCTGGTGCATCCATGATGTCCAGTTTATGAACGTCCTGGTGAAAAATGATGCAAAAGAAGGGGAGAGCAAAATTGTCCTGATTGACTTCGAGTTCGTAATGCGGAACTACCGAGCACTTGACATCGGCGGGCACTTTATGCAGAAGATGTTCAAGTGGTTCGACGAAGAGAGCAAAATAGCTGACTGCAGGAAGTACACGGAGGAGGAGAAAAGACTTTTCTGCGATGAGTATGCCAAGCAGTGGAACATGTCGACCGGTGAGTCGGACGCTGGAGACCAAGTGTTCGTGGAGTCGGAGTACGGGTACATGTTGGCCATCGCATTTGACGTGCACAACATGCTATGCTTCATGAGCGAAGAGAATGACAAGGACCGATCAAACCTTCTAGGGCTTAGGAAACTCTTTGATGAGTTTGTGGATCAATATACCCGACTTGGGCTGGAAGGTCCGTAATCCAACACGGCAAAGCCTTGGCTCGAGGATGAACTTGGGACCGATATAGCGTTGACTTATACGGGTCCGGCCTTGTCTTTATGTTTTGTTCCAGCAGGCTAGTGATGTAAAATGAACCGTCCCGAGAGCAAAGCCCATGGTGGGTCTTGTACAGTGGCCGGAGAACTATGGGTTCTAGTGACGTCCCTACAGAGACTGACTTGATATTAGTAATCAATGCACATGAGTAGCTCAGATAGCCGAAAGGATTGCTTAGAGTATATCTAAAGAGGGAACCGGTTCAAATATGACTTAAGATATCATATTACTACGTACTTATACGAAACGTGCAGCGCTTGAAGATTTTGCATCGCGATGCCCGATGCTAGAGCATGCCGCAAGTCCAGCGAGCCTCCTGTGCCTTTGGCCGTAATTTAGCATATCACGGAGCATGATGCTCTGCGCTGTGGAATATACACGGCGATTCCCGGAAATGCTGCCCCTTCCCCATATTTAATAGAAAATCAATTGGTTAGTATGGCGCAAAATTCTAAGTGCTCTGCGTCGCCTAATAGTATGCAGCTGAAACTCGACTGAGTAACAGGTGACATCGAATGCACAAGGCAAAAGCTATCAGGGATACATCCTTATTAGCAAGCTGGAAGTGTATGTGGATATCGCCATGCTCGAAGTATGTAGGAGACTTTTGCAAGGCTGCGGGCATCGCCGTCGGCAGTGGGGAAGCGGAGGTCGGGAGCGCGCCGGGTGGAGTGTTTGTCCCAGACGGAACTAAACAACAAGGATGTCCGCTGGAAGAAAACAGCAACCGGAAGTCGCCGGTCACCGCATCACGCAATATCTCGGTTGAGAACCTAACCATTTCTACAGTCACAGGTAGGAAGTAATGAGCCTATCCATAAGTCGCGGATACATAAGACTCGTGGGACGTATCATAAATATATGGCAGAGTGTGCATCAAATGAACATTACACGCTGGAACGCTCTGATTATGATGCACAGCGGAAGAAGTTTTCTATAATGGAAGCTTCGCGTATGAACCCCACTCGACCGTCTACAATAATAAAATAACATGCCCTTATTTTTGTCATACGATGGGAATTGCAACATTTCAGCTCCATCTCAGAACCCAACCGGGCTCCCGAACCTCGCATGCGGAGGAGGCCTCACCTTCTACGTTTATCCTGACAGTGTAGACCGTCCCAACAGTGGAGCCCGCCAACACATCTCATTTCTCCTCAACATGCCATAATGCACTCTTGCACTATCATCATAGATAGCCACAACATCTGCCCATATTGCAGGGTTAGCTCAACTTACCATGCAGAAAGTGTATCGGCAACACGCACACGCCTGGCCTAAAGTCGAAAACTTTGCTGATGACATGCATATAATTATGTCACATTTCCTCGAATGGAATGCCTTTCGTCGCGGACATTTTGCTGCACGGGGGGACATTCAGTTCCTCGGCTACGCGAATTGCAACCCCCAACAAGACCCGATATCTGGGAGGCCCAGGGCACATTATCCTCTTTGTAGGTCTCGGACAAAACGCGCCGGAGCGAAAGACAGCTGTCGAGGTTTAGGCTGGCAGATTAGGGGAACTAATGACACTTGACTGGATCAGTGTGTGCTATCCTGTTGTGCTAAATACAGAGTTGCCTCCAATGGTAGAAGCAATGCAGGCTGTGCCTAGCTGATTTTAGTCTTCCATGATAAATATTGACGAAGCGCATCGGCAACTCCCCGATTCTATCTTGTGCAGCATTTCATATGTACCGGAGCAGTCATAGAGGAAGAAATTGGGGGGAAGTACGCCCAAACAGGACGCCACGAGAGACATCTCCATGGCCTCAGTGAGAAATCTACCAGTATCAGTGGTCTGAGAACTACCAATATATATGGGAAAGACACTGCTGGCCCCGAAACATAGTCCCTCTCTAGGCGGTTAGTAATAGGCATCTTAGTGAGCCCAGAATCACTTTCAACTAGTTTCCGTGTTATCGCAATTGTCGTGAGAGGAAAAGATCTGAGACAACCGGCATCTACATACTGGTAAAGGCTTCCGACGGAAAAGTAGCACTACAGGTTCTCAGCGTGAATCATGCCAGGGGGCTAACAGCTGGATCCGGTCTCCTAGCATCGCCTCTTAGACCGGTCTATCTACGTCCTACATTGAGGCCAGCCCACCTCAACGACAGCGAACTAATCAGTGCGTAACAACTCTTAGTCTCCGACGCCTCCCGCCTGTACCCTTGCCGGACGTATTCACTGGTGGCCACGTGCCCTTGAAGTGTTGCCATCATGTAGGAGATCCGCAGAATGAATCGGATATCGTTAGCTATTGTTACCCGAATGTAACTCTCGCTAAGCTCAGAAATATTATTCTTGACGTCCCAGGAAATAAAATTCAGCATGAGCACTAGCTAACACAGTTAATCGCTTTCTGGGCATATCTTTAGCCGAGACGAGTCCCGGACATAATTTGAGACGCGTTCCACCCCACATGGTCTTGGATACTTTTACGCGCCCCTGCCTTACGCTGATGTTATACGTCGAGACCATGAGTTAGGCTGCAAGGTACTACTCGGCAGTTTCTCTGCTAGCTTCAATCTCGCTGTTGTAGTTGGGGAATCTATCCATCTTCCGGTACAGCTTATTGGCGACGCGGGTGTATCAGCTCTTCTTTTCTAGTCCCTAGCAGAATTTTGACGAAGACCTTGCCAACTGAGTGATGCCGAGTGAGACATGGCCAATGCAGCAGTTCAAAACTGTGCTGTGGCACTGCATTCGGTATGCAGAGCGTCATGCAAGTCAGCGAGAGAGGATCCGCCGCACTGCCAGAGTGTCTCCAGTCCTGATGAGCCTTCGCCCGCATGCAAATCTAAGGAGCAAGCATCATCCTTCTCCTCGTGAAACTACCCAGCATTTGGTGAACACGTATGCCGTAGTCAACGGCAGCTCCTAAACAGAGAGGCCCCTTCTCTCGAGGAACCAACCTTATAAAGGTCAGTGCCATCGTATTTTGAGGCTAGCCAAAGGAACTCTGCGACGCACATGCCGTACCGGAATGGTTGCGGTAATGGTGCTAAACGAGGCCGCTCCGAGGATAATTTTTCTTCCGACAGC